ACACACACACACACACACACACACACACTCAGACTCACAAAGAAACAGTACTTGGCAAAACCACAAGGACATGACACACGCACACCGGGCAGGCTGGAAAAGGCTGTATACATTCTGATATGATATTGGGGTGCGTGATTGCAGCGGAGATTAAAATAACACCCACAGCATATGTACGAAGCAGCTGAAATGGTTCAAGCCTAAACCCGTAACATTCCTCCCACAGCCAGACTGTTCCATGACTTCAGAGAGCTGGATCAGCCTTGCTCTGCTACACCTCATTTAAGGCAAAACCGCTTAAGTACAGCTCAGAATGCTGCTGATGTTCCTCAAATCCTCTGCCTCCCTGTGGGCTTCTCACAAAAGTATATTTTCATATTTGCATTTGAATGCACTTACAGACACTCAGGTCTGGTGTTGGTGGTAGATTTTAGTTAAAAAAAATCTGTTGACTCTGAGGAGAGTGTTGATCTTGTCAGTGAAAATGTTTGTTAACATTTTAATTTAATCAGTAAAGACGGGATGAAAATGTGCATCATGATGATAATTATATGATTTTAATTAAAACACTGTTGACAAAAATGAGTAGAACAAATAAAAAACTATTTAGTAATGCTATAAATATATAAAATGTATAAATATATGTATGTACATTATTTTGTACATTAACAATTTTAATAACATTAATATTAAATGTATTCGCATAATATATTATAAATGTTATAAATATACATAATAGTGTTATATATATAACTTTTTAATATGTATATAAATGCAGCCTTGATGAGCATAAGAGACTTATTTAAAAAACATTAGCTTTACTGATCCCAAACGTGTGTGTGTGTATAAATATGAAATTTTACATATTTTTGTTGTATTATTTTTGTTGAAATTGGACGCCAATTTAGTCAAATTTAGTAATGTTTTTAGTAACATGGTAACATTTTAGTATTAATATGGTATGGCTAAATACAACATTTAAAGGATTTCTTTGTCAAAAGACATAAACTATGACTAAAAGACAAGCAAACAGTAAAAATGAACAGTGGTTGAGGACGCTAAGCCCAGCATGTATGTCTCAGCAAAGTTACACAATATTTTATTCCTGAGTATCTGATGGAGCTGGGGGCTTATGAGGATATTCTGGAATGGGCTCCTCTTCTCTTTCACCTCTAAAAATAAAGTCCTACCAGCCTCGCAACTATGGGAGATATGGACAGATACGGAGTGTGGGGAGCACAGATTAGCACCCCTATTAATAGAGCCAAGGCCTGGAAGGTTGCTCAGGCTCAGTTTGGAGGTGATCAAGGGCCAATACACATTAATGTGACTTTAGAAAATGCCATATTTGTTCCTGAATGTCGCTTCCTGTTCAGTAGTGTTTCAAAAACGTGTTTTCAGAGCTTCTGGAAATGAATGGGAAGTGTGTGAAGGTCTTTGAGCCGAAAAAGGGGTTGAGTTTCCAGAGGAATGTCCTGCGTGTGGAAGCCATGGCCAAACCACGCAGTTGGGGGTTTTCACTTCCAACCGTTAGAAAGAGCATTCCCATACTTCCTGGATTAGAGGGAGATGAGTCATGGAGGGGTTTGGAGGTTTTATTTGGACCCATAGTTATACACCTGAAGGACATTTTCCCTTTTTTCCATCAGCAGTTTATTCAAAAGCCATGCTGAAAGTCTTCACAGTCCCTTCGCAGGTTTATGGGCATTCATTTTTATGACTTTGCATACTGTGACGTACTGGTAGAACTCATTAAACTTTTGAGTTCGCATCCCCCCCCCCCAGTTTTAACAAACCATTTTTTTTACCTAAGACACTTAAGTGAGGTGACATGTGGCCAAGTATGGTGACCCATACTCGGAATTAGTGCTCTGCATTTTTCACATCCAAAGTGCACACACACAGCAGTGAACACACACACACCATGAACACACACCCGGAGCAGTGGGCAGCCATTTTTGCTGCGGTGCCCGGGGAGCAGTTGGGGGTTCAGTGCCTTGGTCAAGGGCACCTAAGTCGTGGTATTGAAGGTGGGAGAGAGCGCTGTACATTCACTCCCCCCACCTACAAACCTTTGGGTTACGAGTCCGACTCTCTAACCATCAGGCCACGACTTCCCATACAATGTTCTCTTAATGTCACTATCAGTGTGGATTGAAATCAACAGGACTATGAATCAGAGACACAGCCCAAACATTACAGACATTCTCAGTCCAATGAAAATTATACACGGTAATGTGTAATGTGTGTAAAATGTGTCTGTGTGATGGGTGTGGAATACTGGAATAAATTTGGTTAATTTCAAATGTCATTCAGTTATATTATTATTTATATAAAATCTGCTATATTACACTGCTGTTTAAAAGTTTAGGATCGGTAAGATTTTTGTTTCAGTAGTGTTGTTTTTTTGTTGTTTCTGTTATGCTCATGAAGGCTGCATTTATTTGATCAAAAACACAGAAAAAACAGTAATAATGAGCAATATCATTACAATTTAAAATTAATTTTCTGTTTTAATATACATTAAAATATAATTTATTTCTGTGGTGGCAAAGCTGAATTTTTGTAAAAAAAATTTGGTAGCCTGCGATACTTTTTCAGGATTCTTTGATGAATAAAAAGTTAAAGAACAGCATTTATTCAAAATAGAAATCTTTTCTAACAATATAAGTCTTTACTATCACTTTTTGTCGCGTATTTTTGATTAAATAAATGCAGAGTTGATGAGCATAAGAAACGTCTTTAAAAAAGCATTAAAAATCTTGCTGGCATAATTAATTAAATGTTATTATTAAAAAAATATATATTATTAGAAGTTACAAGTTGGCCTGAGTTAACACTCTGAGACTCTCTGAGGACTAAGTATAGTGCTGTTCTGGTTTCACCGTCAACATTTAGAGTCAGTGCCCCCACCACCAAAATCCTACCGAAAAGAAACATGGAAAGTTGATCTCAGTCCTGCAAAAAACATGAAATCCTCTCAACCCTTTGAGTCCCTGGACTTGTGGGTGGAGAGGGGACCGACATAGTGATGTTCTGATTCATCGTCGCCACTAAAATTTGGATTATTTTCAGTCACGTTGGATTTTTCCAGTGCCGGTGAATGGCGGCTAGGCCCGTTTTGCTCTGCCTGGCTGCTGTGTTTACCTGAGGCTTCGATTCAGTCAACTCGACTCTGAAACACCCCTGGAGAATTATTGATTATTAACCGTGAAATAAGGTTTCATGGACTTAGTTTAACATATTGTGATTCAAATATAGCCTATGGAAGTTATGGAAGCCTGTATCTGCCATGGAATAAAAGTATTTTATCAACTTTTTTTCTCACAATTCAGGCTTTGTTTTTTCGCAGTTCTGAACACCGAATTGCATGACAGAAGCTCAGAAATTTTTTTTCTCACAATTTTGAGTTTACATCTCAGAATTCTGAATTTACACCCCCCTCCACAGAATTCTGCTTACATCTTGCAATTTGGACTTTTTTTTTCTAAATTCAGAGTTTACATCTCGCAATTCATGTTTTTTAATAAAATAAAAAAGGTAATTGCGACTTTTTATCTCAGTTATGACTTTTTTTTTTCATGATTGCAAGTTTATATCTCACAATTCTGACTTTTTTCTTAGAATTTACAGTTTTTCACAACTCTGAGGTTATATTTTGCAAGTCAGAATTGTGAGAAAGTCAGGCTTCCATATTTTGTTGGTTCATTTCAGCCAGTCTAAATAGTAGCCTAATGCTACTTTTTTAGTTTTAAATTAAAAAAATGTTCAAAAAGTTCAAAATGTGCCTTCTAAATACTGCCAACTAAACAGTTACTTTTTTCAGTGACATATTTTTTGACATTGGCATCAAAGAGATTTGCAGAGCTGACCAGGCCTGAGACCTAACGATCTCGGAGTAGTTATTTGCTTAATACTGACATTAGCTATTGGACCAACCAAGATGTCAGGGTAATTGAATAAGTGTGCATGGCAGGTCAGGTTAAGCCTTGAGTCAGCACATGGTAGTTCAGAGGTAATTTGCCTTTGGCCACAACAGAAAAAGCAACAGAATTAGGTCAGAGTGTTCCTTGTAGTGCTTTTGAAACACCTTTCAGCGGTTTATTCCCACTGGTAAATACATAACCACATACAAACATCCTTAACCCGCTGTTCTGCTAATGCCAAGATTTCTCTCAGGGAAGAAAAACAAACCGTAGAAATGTACGGGTCCACAACCCTATTAAAAGAGTCCACCACCATTTTCTTTTTGCTCTTTTTGAAGCTAATACAAATGGTTTTGACAACTACTACTTTTGTTGTTGTTGTTGTTATTTTCTATATTTGCCAGCAGTGTTCAAAAGCCAGAGTCATTTTATGCAAATATCGTGCAAAAAAAAAAGTAAAAAATCATCATACAGTTTACATACACACAAAAGCTTTGTTTAGACAGTAAAAACTATCAAAGCTTGTTTTTGCCTTGAGTAAAAAACAACAACAACTAATAATAATTCCGACTCTAACTGTAAGACTTGTTATCCCACAGTGGGCCTTTGTCTTTTTTTTTAAATCGTATCTAACAAACTTCCTTAAAAAAACACCTTCTGTTTGGTCAGAAACGTGTGGTTGTGTGGGATGTACGTGTGTGAGTTTATAAAGCCACTGTAGTACACTAAATATCGGGTCTTCCCCTTGGCGAGAGTGGGAAATTCCAAATATCACTGCAGAGGATACTACGGAATGCAGAAGTAGCCTACATCTCTTAAATGACAGCGCGAGCCCTTATTATACGTCTGTATATCAATGTTGTGCATGAGACTGAAGTTTTCTGTAATGTTGTGGTTCAGAGGGAGGGTTAAAAGCCTTCATCCAGCCCCTTTTTCAGATGCTCTGTTTATTTCTAGAGTTGTGACGCAATGGGCCCACTCCTCCGCGCATACGTCACCTCGTCTCAGCGTCGTGATTGGCTCGTTGTTGTTGCTGCTGCTGCTGCTGGTAGAGGAGGGGGCATTACATAAGCGTTGCTCCCTTTCTTTACGGTCTACTCTGCTGGAGGACAGTGACGGAGGAGGGTGGAGTCCACCTCTATGTGTCTTTTCGGACAAAACAACCCATGTCACAGCACTGAACCGTCCTGGAACACGTAGTACTCTCCGAAATTTTCCTGCCTCGACAAATAAATGCTCAGCATAGGCATCAGAGAAATAAAACACGCGAAAAACAAGGACCATTTTGCAAACGGAAACAAAAGCGCATTGGCCATACAGCGCACGGAGCCTCTCAATGCATACCCTCTGTGCCCGAGGAACGATGAAACCAGAGATAAACGCCGCCGTCGGGTTTCTGTCGAGATTCCTGCGGATTAAAGGACATGTGAACGACAGACAGCTCCAGACGTTTAGCCAGACTCTACAGGACATCCTGGCAGGTAAGTATCTGTATTTACAGAAGAATATCAACTTCGTTATATCCACTTTCTATTTATGTGTCTCGTTTGTTTGTGAAAAATGTGGGAAAACATTGATCTCTTTGTTTATAAGCTAATTTATGTGCTTGGCCACATAGGCGGAAGCGCGCGGATGCTTTGCGCACGAACATAAACAGTTGAAACCTTCAAACAGCGACCGTAAAAGAAGACAGAAAAAAGACCAAAAGATATAGATATTTATAGATGTGATCGTTTACATGATCTCGTAATTAAAAGCTCAGTTTACTGACGGGTTGTTTATGTAGTTCATAATATAGATACATTTCATGTGGCAAGCCGATTTTACATGAATTCCTTAAAACTAGAATGTTTTTCATTAAAATTACGTATATCATTACGTAGTGAATGTTATCTAACTAGTAGGTATTCTAAGAGTGACTGCCATTCATTAACAATTATTCCAGTAGTGATCTCTCCATTTATTAAAGGGGTCATATGATGCGATTTCAAGTTTTCCTTTCTCTTTGGAGTGTTACAAGCTGTTCGTGAATGGATAAGATCCCTAAAGTTGCAAAGACTAAAGTCTCAAACCCAAAGAGGTATTCTTTATAAAAGTTAAGACTCGTCCACGGCCTCCTAAAATGCCTCGTTTAAACACGCCCCCACATGTCTACGTCACGATGTGGGAAGATTTGCATAACGCCGCCCAAATGTTCACGCAAAGTAAGAAGGCGTAACTTTATTGTTGCTGCCACCGCCGCCGCCATGTTGTAAAGATGCTGTGTGTTTCGTTGCGAAAGCGAAAATACTTTGTTTGGCCTTCCAAAAGAGGACACGACTAGAAATCAGTGGTTAATTTGTATTTACAACACTGTTCCAGAACAGTTCAACCCAAATATTCAGATGTGTGCAGTGCATTTTATGGAGGACTGTTTCCTGATCCTCGGAGAGTAGACTACAATGCCAGCTGTTCTGACTCACAGCCTGCAAGTTCGTTTTCATATTTAAAGAATTTGCCACTGATGATTCAAACGCGAGTTTTGAGCAGTGCAGAGTAGCGCTTGTTGTTTGTCATTTCTCCGATCACAAATGCAGACATGGTTTTATGTTTACGCGGCGCGATGCAATGCAATGTGTAAAAAGACAGTATAAGTCATTATAATCCGTAATTATGTCCCCACTGGATGCAACAAATGCCTCGTTTATAATGGGTTTTTAATGTTTTTGTCTCGTCACTCCGGGACACGGCATCACAGTATGGTAAGGGGCGTAACATTTCCATCACACGCTTGAGGTATTCGGCCAATCACAACTCACTGGATAGCTGGCCAATCACAGCACACCTCGCTTTTCAGACCGATAAGCTTTGTAAAAATCGACGTGTTTCAGAAAGGCGGGGCATAGAGGAGAAACAATAATGTACAGTTTGTGGAAAATGTGTTTTTTGAACCTTAAACCGCATAAACACATTTCATTACACCAAATACACAAAATAATGTTCTTTTTAGCAACATCATATGACCCCTTTAAGTCAGTATTACTTATTCATAACATACTAGTATCTTCTCGATTGTTACTAGTCACTATCCCATTAACTATTTAGTTGTTATTAGTAACAAACTAGACATGTAATTCTGTTTTATATAGACTGTTTGTTAGTTTGTGTTTTATGTGTTCCTGGTGTCGCTAGTACCTTTTCTAGTACTATTACTACTGTTGGTTACTAGTGAAATTGAGAAAAGGTAATTAATATTAAATAGCTTGGTAGTAATTCAATTAGATACTAGTTAGTTTTATGGAATGAATGTTGAAATGGCTTGCCATATGTTGTAGGCAGTAAATTACGTAATGCACAGCAAGTCTGAATATCTAAGATATCAGATCTAGGGCTGATGTTTCATCTCTTTTGCATACGGGTAATAGTGCATGTAATGCACACTGTGCCTGTGCATCATTATAATAAACATGTAAGTATGCAGCATACTAGCAATGACCGCCACAAGTTGAATAGACAATTGAATAACGTTTCAGCTGTTTTGTTAAAATGCAATTTTCACTTAAAAAATAATTTTAATTACATCACAGGCCTTTATATTTTATGTTAGTTTTCCTAACCAAATATTTAATCATATATAAAAAAAAAGGTGCAAAGACAGAAGTGAAGTTAGTCCATTAATTATTATTCAATTGCTAGCCATAAAAATAACATGTTCTTTTAATGTTGTTGTCCTTTCCTGGTTTTGTTTCAACCACCCATAATTTTCATGTTTTTTTGAATGGACCAGCATTTTGTTAGGCCCTTTGTTCAGATTCAGAAAACAAAAACTAGAATAAAAATGTGGTTAAGCAGTTGAATAACAATCAAACATACAAGTCACCAACAAGGCAGTAATACAAGTTAATTTAGGTTATACACAAATACACATGCCTAAAGTGTTTAAAGTCAGATGAGAAACTCTAAATGGTCAGAGTGTGTGTGTGTGTGTGTGTGTGTGTGTGTATGTGCATGCATGTATGTATGTA